CGAAAAGCACCGGGAAGTTCCAAGAAGTACCGGGAAATACCGAGAAGCACCGAGAAGAACCCTGAAATACCGACCATACCGATAAGCCCTGAGAAGTGCCGAGAACCACCGAGAAGCATCGGGAAGTACCTAGCAGTGCTGAGAAGTGCCAAGCAGTGCTACGAAGTACCAAGAAGTACCGAAAAGCACCGGGAAGTACCGAGAAGTACAGAGAAGCACGGGAAAGTACCGAGAAGTGCCGGGAAATACCGAGAAGTACCAAGCAGTGCTAAGAAGTACCAAGAAGTACCCAAAAGCACCGGGAAGTACCAAGGAGTTCGGGGTGTCGGTGTGAGTGTGTGGGTGTGGGTGTTGCTATAGATGAAAACAAGACTCACACCCACACCCACACGTATACCCATAGCCACCTATACCCATACACATTCACACTCACACCCACACCCACACCCACACCCACACACCCACACCCACACCCCACACCCACCCACACCCACACCCACACCCACACCCCACACCCCACACCCACACCCACACCCCCACACCCACACCCACACCCACACCCACACCCACACCCTGGCCATCTTTGCCACCTTACATCTGTCGGTTACTATACGACAAAGCTTTGAAATTTTTTCATACACTTGTATTATTGGACTTGTCCTAGTTTCAACCTTGACTACGAGGTCATACAGAAGAGAATTTTTTGATTTTTGGCAAGTTTCAAATCCATCGAACTATTACAGATGCAAAAGATCGAGTCCTTAATTGTTATCGTTGGTAACGCTCCTAAGTTGTATCATTCATCAAAATCAGTTTCATATTAAGTTATTCCTGTATTGAATGTGCCAACAAGACTTGAATTCAACTTTACTGTTTTGATATCATCTGAAATATTCTTCATTTTTCAATACAAATCACAAAGAACATAGTCATAATCTATAGACTTAGATTGCTTAGAAGATAATTAAATAATGATCTGTTATGTCGATCGTGATATGAAACCAATAAGTTAATATGACAAAATGATAAAAAGATTGAAATAACTAATCACTGATTTAAACCCGCTTTCAAGCAATTTAAGACTTTAAATTATGACTGTCTTCTCTAGCAATTCACCCTCTATCGAGATTAGACATCTTCGGGTCAAATTAAAGATCTCACTGCCAAACTAACAAATTTTAAATATTATATGCCCATAGTGTATCTAGAACAAGTTACTTAAATTTCAAGGTATGTGGAATTGAGACATAAAACTAAATCAGAAAAGTTTTCTTCGCTATTGTCAGAGCAAAATATACTGGTTCGCTATGAACATGTAATATTTTAAATCTATTTGTTTGGTAGTAAAACCTTTAATTTGACCCGAATATGTGTAATCTTCTTGAGATATAGCATATATATCTTTGTTATAAGTAGGATTTTTCTTCACTTTTTACGGACAAAACATAGTGCTGTTCGCATCGATCTAGAATTCGAATTTTTTTTTTCAGAATTAATTGAAGTTGGAATTGCTGTATTCCTATTTGCCCAGAAACTGCAGATCATAAATTTCAATAGAAGACTGATAACTTGATAATCATATTGAATTACTTTACTACTATGATCAGTATCCTAGTCCAATGGGATAATCAAAACTCACAATTATTCAATATCCAAATGTTTTTAATTTAATTTTGGTAGTTACACATATCTAGTGTTCGCCATGATACCTTCAGACTTTTGTCATTGGCGAATAGCTAGTTGGTAAGGTTTGAAAACCTTATCAAAATTACAATAGTATGGGAAGTGCAGATTGAATATATCTGCCTATTCACGTATACAAATCGAAGATTTCTTTGAATTTTACAACTAGAACAGTGAAAAGTCATTCCTTGATTCTTGAATAAACTTATTTTGCTTAGATATTTATTTTGATCGAATACGCTTCAGAAAACACACATCGATATAAAAGTATCGTGTTATTAATTCATGTAAGGCCGATATAAAATATGAATGAATAATATCAAACGTTGATGCGATTTTTTTTTGACTTACAGTTTGACATGAGAATCTCATTGAGTCTCTTCTGAACTTCATCATAACAAATGTTAACTGTAATGTGAAGCCAACAAAGCACTCTTTTCGCAAAGACTATCACCTGATCTTGTAGTTGATTTCATTTATCATCGTTGTCTTTGTTTTCACAGATAATTATATAGTATGAATTCTCCTGTTCAACTCGTTGTTCGTCTACAAAAGTATGCAGACAAAACGTAAGATTGTCATCAAACCTTCTTATTTCACAGTTATGAATGAAAGATCAACACTTGATAATATTCTTTCATTCTTTTATATTTATTCTTCGATACAAATAATCATTTTTTTTTCTTTGTTTCTTTTTCATCTACTTCTATAACTAACTCATTCACACGCAATAAATACAACCGATTTCAACGATTATCTAATCTAATAGGATCTTCAATACGTGATTATTGAAAGATTATATGTTGCTTTCTATCGAAAGAATATTTTTCGTGAGTATTCTTCGTTTAATAGTTTTCATGACAGTATCTTCGAAATTTCTTTTATAAAAAAGTTCAAATACATCATATAGTGATTTTCGACATTTTTTGTATCAGTTGTTGATTCTGCGTTGTTTTTTCAAGTTGGAAAAAAACCAACTCTTAGAAGTCATAGTAGAAGAAATGCAAAGTAGTGTGACTAGTAAACTTCTGTGCTTTGTGCTTCAAAAAAAGCATAAAAATAAAGTCAAAGTCTTTTAGTTAATAATGTACATGTAAACTATTTTTTTTCTTCCTTTCTTTTATTGTGAAGTGCATCATGTAGGTAGAAAAAAACAAAGAAACAAAGCATTATCAGTATGCCGTCGTCAAACACATTATAAAAGATTCATGTTGAATCAAATCAGCGTCGTCTAAAGAAGGAAACAAAAATTTCTTTTAGAAAGCAAACGCACAAACTGTTTCCTATATTGTTGTATGAGTATTTAATAGTAATAAAATGCTTGCTAAGGAATTTTTGTCCCAAATATAAATATGATCAGAAACATCAAACAAATCTCTCTTCTTATCACATTTTAGGACAATGGCATCGTCTGTTGTTTATTGGCAAAAGCATGCCTTAATTATTGGTATCAATAATTATCTACGTAATCCATTAGAATATTGTATCAATGATGCCGAAGATCTGGAAAAAATTCTTCAGCGAATTGATTTTCATGTATTACTTGAAATTGATTGCAATCTTCATAAATTCTTCAGTATAATAGATATATTCACTAATAGAATCCAACAAGATGATTTGATTTTATTCTATTTTGCTGGTCATGGTAAACAAATGAAAGATGAGGATTATTTATTACCAGTAGATTATTATTATGATTATCGAGAAAATGAACAGAACTATATCATCAAACATGCTATTAACATCAAATATATAATAGAAAAAAATCAATCATCAAAAATGTCGTGTGACAATATATTTATTTGATTGCTATAGACACATGATACGAACTCGATCGATGAATTCAAATCAAAATCTATTATTCGTGAGTGGATCATCACAAACTCTTATTGTATTTGCTTGTACTCCCAATAAAGCAGTGCAAGATGAAACGCATAATAATAGACATGGGAGTTTTATGGAAAATCTATTAAAACACATTATAATACCTAATAAAGATATCGAAGAGATAATGAAAGAAGTTGCTAATGATGTGAACATACAAACAGATGATTTTCAATTATTACATCGAACAAGTTCTTTGTTGGACAAAGTCTTTTTAGTACAAAATAAAAATCAAGGTCAGATGTTTTCTTTTTTTGATTCGATGAATTTTTTTTTAATTTTCAAAATACTGTAGAATGCGAGTAAAATAATTTTTATGAACAATGACAATAGTAAACATTATATTTAACTAAAATGATTTTAGACAAGAGCTTTTTAGAAACAGAGGTAAACTTCTACGTCTTGTACCATTACTTTGCACTGTTTTTCTGAGCAACAGTAGCCGATCATTCAAGATAGAAAAAGAACATTTTGCGTCTTTCAACAATATCAACAGATCTCGTCATATCTTTATTTTTAAACTAGTTGTTTCCGCATTTATAGTTTTAATTATTTTGTCGACGCCTTCAAGTATTATGTTACTACTGACGATTAAGAGTGACTACATAATTAAAAGTTTTCTAAATGATAGAAATGAATTAGAGACAACTGTAGCTACATATAACACTCATTAAAACTAAGGCAAATTTTGATTAGATTCGATATATTCATCTGAATATTAGATCGATGATCTATTCCTCGATTTACCTTCTTCTTAAACTAAAGTGAGACTCTTAGATTAAAGAAACGATATTAAGACTGCAAAAATATCGTTTAATCATTAATTTAGAATCACTGTTTCATGAGTACGAAAGAGTAGTTGATGAAGCTATATTCTAGACTAAGTATATAATCAATTGAATTTATTCACGCTACCCATTCTACTAATTAATCTTTTCATAGTTTTTACATCATTTTTCAAGGATTCCAAGTCTCTCACACATCATAAGATAAATCTGATCAATTATATGCTTAACCCAATGTATGACTTCATCTGTCACTTGTTCGGAACCATGGAACAATTGTTCTAAATCAGTAAAAACTACTATTGAAGCTTGAAAGTCATCTCTTGAATCTCAGAGTATCAGTTGTGCTTCATTAGATAGAAGTTAATGACAGATATTAGGCAATCAAAAGCTCATTTTTCACCATATATTGCTGCAACAAGAAGGCAGATCGATGCACACATCATCTATTTGATGTCTAGGTGAATTTATTTCATCGCTGATCAATCTAGTCAAGTATAAATTATTGTTAATAGTCATTTTCTAGTTGAATTCTACTGACTGCACATAGGTTTTATTCAAACTGAAATTTAATTCAATGTATATTTAGTAGAATCTGCGAAAGCATTAAAAACCAATTGTCAATTTGAACAGCATTACACAAACGAGCATTCTAGGCCAAAAAGAAGACATGTTCTGCAGAGTAATGATGGATCTATAAATCTCAGTCATGTACATCAAGACTCTCCTGAATCATGTCGTTCGTATCATGATATCCATGCATCGCGACTCAATTCTCAACTGTTGGGATCGAAAAAGAAAATTGATACAGGATTTTTGCTATATATAAGAACTCCAATAAGATTCGCTTTTAATAATCAAGTACCTCCTGATCGTTCTGTTTCACTTCAACAAACTGAAGATCTTCCTAACTTCAAAATATTTGATAAATGAATATTTTTGAACTGTCTATGAGACTTATTTGTGAATGCCGTTAAACACTTTTCTCTTGCCAGAGAGCTAAATGAAAGGAGTCTGTTGTCTTTAGTTGACATGTAGATGTGCCCATATGGCTTATTGTGAACATCTTTGTTATGATTTTCAGCGATGTTAAAATCATATATCTATACTCTCATCATTATATTTTGACTCGGGTTGCTATAAGGAGGGAAGAAGAGACTGGAATATTTCATCGAATAATTTACATTCATTTTTTTTCGTCGTCAAATGTGTAAGCTCTATAAAAGAAAAAAAAATGAGAAACGAATACGATGACAATATAATCAAATTTGTCATTTATTATCATCATACCTGGCTCAGAACACATAATCAATACACCATCATGTGCTATTACTTTGTCATGTAAACTTTTTTGTAAGTATTGAAAATATTATTGAATCAGATATACAAGCGACAATACCAGTTGAATAAATATTTATTAAAAAAATAAATAGAAAATCTTTTGTATCTAATTCATATTTACCTAAAAAAATTTCATATGCATCATGTTCTCTCTTTCATGTTCTCAACTATTCATTTTTTGAGCTTTCTGTTGCTGAAATTGAATTACCAACTATTTCTTTAACTAAATAAT